CGACGACGACGACGAGTACCACTACTACTAGTACGACAACGACGACGACAACGACGATGTCTACTGCGACGACAGCTACTACTACTACTACTACTACAACTACTACTACTGCTACTCCTGCTTCTGTTACTGCTGCTGCTCATGTTACTGCTGCCGCTGCTACGACTGCCACTGCTCACGGCGGCTGCTGCTGCTGCTCCTGCTCGAGCTTCCGCTCCTGCTGTTGCTATTGCCACTTCGACAGAACGGTGTCTGCGACTGCTACTGAAACTGCAAGTGCTACTACTGCTATCACGACTAAATTTGCGGCTGATTTCTGATGCTGCCTGTCCTCATGCTGTGGCTCCTAGCCTCTCCACTGGATGAGGACATGTGTGCTGGTGGTGGCAAACAAGAACCTGCTGCTGCTTCTGCTGCTTCTGCTGCTTCTGCTGCTGTTGCTGCTGTTGCTGCTGCTGCTGCTGCTGATGATGATGATGATGGCGACCATGGCCGTCATAGTGACGATGATGACGATGATGATGAGTAGGAGGTAGAGGCGATGATGCCGAGAAATCCGGTGGTGACTGTGAAGTGATTCTGGGGTTGATTTGTAGTTGCAGTCGCCAGTATCGTTCTTTTTGTACTTGTTGCATCGTCATCATCATCCCCATCATCATCGCCATCATCAACATGTCATCAGTACTAGCACAGCATCATCACCATCAGCTTCAGCATTCCTATCATCACCAACATCATCAGCATCATTACCACCATTGCAACCATTGTCCGTACCCACATCATCATCTTCTTTGTCTGGATTTATGCTCATTCTGATGCCGGCCCCCCTCCTTCTCATCTGTATCTTCATGGGTGCTGTCGCTGTTGTTGCAGTCTCCGTCCTCGTCTTCGTTGTCGCCCTGGTCGTCGTCCTCGCCCTCCTCGCCCTCGCGCTGGCGCCCTCGGGCCCTCGCCCGTCGTCCATCGTCCCTCGTCCCTCGTGGCTCATACTCGTCCTCCTCCTCGTGGTGGTTTTGGTGGGTTGCTTTATTTAATTTGCTTTGCTGCTGCTGGTGCTGCTGGTGTTGTTGCTGCTGTTGCTGTTGGTGCTGTCGTGGTCGTCGTCGTCGTCGTCGTCGTCGTCGTCGTCGTGTGGTTGTGGTTGTGGTTGTGGTGGTTGTCGTCGGTGTCAGCCTCGCGATGTCAGCAGTAGCATTAACATCAACATTCCGAAGCAAGCACTGTCATCAATATTTTTCATTACTGTAATACTTCGTGAGCTGCAGCATCCGCAGACTGCTGCAATCTCAAATGCATCTTGATGAAGCGACTCCGAATCAAAGCAGCTTGCTTGCAGGTAGGAGTTGGTAATAACATGTTTCGACAAGAAAAGGATGCACGAGCGCGAGCGACGAGTCTCAATTCTCTGCGCACTGTATCCTCACGGTGAGCATTCTCCAAGTACCAAGCCCACAAACCTAAACAACAGCATTTTGGCGAAAAAGAAAGTGCCATGCAAACCCATGCAAACCCTCCACTCCCCCTCAGCCGCAGGTCCGCTGTCGCAGGTCCGAGGGATTGGGATGTCTCCGAAAAAGAGTTCAGGAGGCAACAGGGAGGGCGTACGTCTTTGAGGATCCGTCCCAGTGTATCAGCAGCAGCAGCAGCAGCAGCAGCAGCAGTAGTAGTAGTAGTAGTAGTCGTCGTCGTCGTGGCAGTGGCAGTGTTTGTCGTCTTGGTAGTGGGAGTGGCAGTGGAAGGGTAGCAGGTACAATCTGGGATGTGAGGGTTGTCAGGTTGAGATTTCGCAGAGGATTGGCGTTTGCGGTGTAACCTTCACTATCTTTCGGCTTCCGGCTTCGCCAGGGATTGTTTCCTATTGCTTGCTTTGAATCAGCCCCCTCTGCATAGGTCTAGTGCCGGGTGTTGAACTGTCTTCGGGATCGACGGTTCAGGAAGCTCTGCTGGTCTCATTTTGAGACGTCTCCGCTGCACAAGAAGTTCATTATCTGTTTCGTTTCTGGGCCGACTTAGCCTATCACAGTTACGCGCGATGCTGTGCGAGCTGGGCCTCACGGCCATCCCAGCGAAAATCGACTGGTTTGAAGCTTTGACTACCTACGCTGTGTTCCCTTCGGCTGCGAGGCCTGCGCGATGACAGGACCTTGCTTCTCCCTTGTGCATGGTACGACAGTATTGAGGCCGGCTGCTGACAGTTTCTGTCGTCGTGGCCTCCTCTTCCCCTCTTCGTCACTAAATACGTGACAAGAAGGTGGAGTCCAGCTGATTTCGGGTGTTGCTGAGTTTCAGTCATTCTAGCTCCATAGCTTGTAGACGCCCAAACCCCCCCCTGCTTGGGGATCGACCCAGTCCTGATTTCATCTTTCTCAAATTGCTGCCGACAAGCGGACCGTTTTGGAATGCCCTACAATGCTATGACCACTCTTGAGGTCTAAGGCTAGCTCCATGACGCGAGGCGAAAAGCTGGAGAACCGGATCCACTGGAGTCGCTGCCGGCCCAGTCCTCAGATCGAAGGACGCAGCAAGAGCAGGAGCGGTAGCACCAGCACAACCGCTAGCTGTAGAATTAGCACGAACAATTGCAGTAGCATTGGCACAAGCACAAGCACTCGCACTTGCTGTGGCACTGGCACTGGCTCTAGTTTTGGCTCTAGCACCGCCTCTGGCACTGGCACTAGCAATGGCATTGGCACTGGCAGTTGCAGCAGCATCAGCAGCAGCCGTAGCAGAAGCAGTCTCACTAGCAGTTTACGTGCTTGTATCACGAATGGCTGCAAGCCTGCAACGTGGCAGGCCGGCGCCTCCCTGGTGTTGCTGAAACAGTCCGTCTCCTGCCTCAGTGCCACACTCGGAAGTCGGGATGTAAGAGCCTGTCGCAAGGAAAAGAGAGGATCTCCATGCGTTGCTATTGCATTTTTGAGTGAAGATTTAGCCACTACGTGCAGTGATCCTAGGCCCAGCGTAGATGCCAAGATAGTGTGACACCTCATGCAAAGCTGCCGTGCTCTCCGAAAGGCACGGAGCTTGTTGGAACTCACGGCGCTGCATTTCGTGGAAGTCAGCCGGAGGCGACAGATGTAACTGTAGGAGCCTTGGCGGTCTCGGGGAGGGTTTGGTATAAATGCCAGGTCTGTCAACTTTTGGAAGAGGGTGCTGAGATAGCCGCGGCCTCAACCTTGCCATTTTTGTGCGACTTTTGCTTGTGTTGGAAAGCAGCATGAAGCCAAGGATCATCGTGATGGGTCCCGACTCCGTACCCCCTTAATGTGGGTCGGAAGCTGAGGGCTGAACCTTCGCACTTCTCAACATGATCCGGCAATAGCGCTACTGCAAGGCAGCCTCCGCCGGCAACGTCGCCATCTGCAACCAATTGCTTCGCCACGGCCCGCTTCCCGAACTTTCCCCCTCTCCTGCAAGCTCAGACTTTCCGACTCCAAGGCGCCAACCCATGCCTGCGAGCATCAGGCCCCCGCAGAGCAGCTCTGCACTCTCAGCACCGGCTGGCTTCAGACGTGCACCTGTTGGTGAACCCCGTTTAGGCTTAGAAACTATTCCACGGGGCTGCTTCTCCTGTCTACGAGGCACCAAAGCTGCCCAACTGGCAGAGGCCAACGGCTACAACGAGCTTGCCCGCACCCCAGGTGGCTTTGTGCCAAGCCCGGAAAAGAAACTCCAAGGGGCCTCTGCTGCCCGTCCAATTACTGAAGCAGTGCTCGCTTCCTCTCATGTTATATGAAGACGGAGAGCACGCGAGGCCACACCAAGCAACATCATGCAACGCTGGTGAAAGGACGGGGTTGCTTTCTGTACCATCTTTGTTTCTGAGGCTGAGATGCTGGCGAGTGCGGAGAAGGAGTGGATGGAGTGCCCTGGTGCGAGTTTTCAGGCTTTGTCGCGGCACTTCAACTTTCGAACACCATGGCACTTGTTCTGTTCCTGAAATGGCTCCAGGCCGGATGCAAGCGTGCAAAAGGTAACCAATCGCGAAAGCTGAGTGCTGTGTAGCATCCGTAGCGTAATGCATTTCACACACGTCGAGGCTCGCTCCAGTGATTCGCAAACTCGTGACACACTCAGAGGTGGTCCTTTGCCCATCCTATGGAAGCAGCAGCGAGAGTGCAGGATTGCTCGCCTCCCAGGAAGGTTAATGGCCAGGCCATCGTCTTAAGAGAATCAGAAACTGAGGGCTACGAAGTCCTGTTGCAGCTGAGATCAAGGGCCATGAAGGCTATGCCAGGATATCTTGGAGCCCTCGGAGGCTGCAGAGACTCGACAGACAAGGACAGTCGCGAGACCGCTAAACGGGAAGTGCACGAAGAGTGTGGCTTACAACAGTCCAGCATCCTCATGGAGCCCACAAAGTTTGCGGAGGGAGCCAAGTGTGACTGGTTTGTCATGATGGTACGCAGAGATGCGAAGTTCCAGAAAGCAAAAAGCCGTGCTGAATGTGGAGACGTGACTACAGTACTTGCCCTTCTGCCACCTTCTGCTCAGAAGGCTGACTGCTATGGCCATGCATGGGTGCCGACCGAGCACTTGTCCCAGATCGATGAAGAACAGCCATTGATGGGTGGTCTTGTGGACCGCATCCGAAGGGCGGTTCTCAAGCTCCAGGCACCAGACCCATCTCATCCGGAAGATCCGCCGGCTGACCTTCCATGCGACGACCTCGATGCGGTTGACGTACCGCCCGAGGCAACAGAGCCAGTGGTGGAAATTGCAGCCGCAAGCTGACGCCACCAGCCTCGCGGCCACTAACGGTTCTGCTTAAGGCATGCCAGACCTTGCAGCGCCCTGGTGCCCTTCCTCCCATGACATGGGTCCCCCACGGAGTGTGAGGTCGAGACAGCGCGTGTCTGAAAGAATGCTATGGTGGGGAGGTCTCTCCACTGACTGGTGAGACATCTAGGGCAGGGGTTGATCAAGAAAGCCACGGTCCACACCACACCTCCCTGATGCCAGGCATGGGACTGTTCAGGGTGCACTGGCGCCAGCTCCCAAGCCGAGGACCCGCGTTGCTGCATTTCCGTAGTGCCGTAGTGTGGCTTCCACCCTCCTGGATGTCAATGTACGTATGCATGTATTCGTGTATGTATGTAGGTAGGTAGGTAGGCATGCAAAGAATAAGTAATAAGTAAGTAAGTATGTATGCGTATGCATATATATATATGTATGTATGTATTTACATACGCAGCGGTGTTGCAGGTTCCGACGGCCGCTTGTCGCTGTTGACTGTGGGCAGGCAGCCGACTTCGGGAGGGAGCACCTAATGACCATGCAACCGAAGCTGGTAAAAGCCAGTCCAATCCGAATCTGATCTGATCCTACTAGCTGCGCATCATTATAAGGGAGCAGTATACCGTGGAAGTCTTCTACTCCATCCCAAGCTGCCAGGCACTGGCCCTTTCAGTGCTACTTCTGAGTTGGGTAATAGGCCGGAGCCGGCGGCCGAGTCGGGCAAGGGGGTGGCTTCGAGCTTCGGGGCTGGCGGACAGAGGTCGCTACGTTGCATCATTGCATGGTGTCGCCTTATATTGAATTGCTGTTTGCACTTTGTACAGGGCTGGTCGAGAGCTAGCTCATCCTGTGCAGCCTTGAGGCAGCCACAGCTGGTGCGCTTCGGCCGGTTTGGTCGGACTGGCGCTGGCCGCATTTCTGGAGCTTCTGGCATGCTTGCTGCAGTGGCAGTACACGGTAAGTTTCGGTCAGAGACAGAGAATGCCGGCTATTGTAAGGTTATGTAAAGAAAATGTGGCAGAGCATCGCACAGCAGAATAAGCACGAAGTAGAGCAAACACGGGTATGGATGGGCCATTTGGTTGTCCCATGCAGGTTTGCTTTCAACCTCTTACCTGAAAGTGTATCCAAGACCAAGTTGCGTGATCCCAGTGTGGCAGGTGACACCAGTCAGAAAGCTCGTTACGACCAACCTGCTTGGCCCTTGGTGTCACTTCGCTTCGGTTTGGCAAAAGCCACGAGAGAATTCCTGCATCGCCTGTAGCCTCAGCGCTAAACCAAAGTCTCTTCAGCCATTTGGAAGAGTCGAAGGCCACGAAAGTTTTACAGTTGGATCCAGATGCAGAGACTACCCAATCTTAGGCAACTTCCGAACCGGCAACCCCGTCAAGGGCTTTGGTTCCAGAGCGTACAGCTGCCGCAGTACCGAAAAGAAGGGTTGCGTGTTACCTGAGCACATTTTTATGCAGTACTTATGATGCCAGATGATCAAACACTGCATGGTCTTGCATACATATGCTGCAGCACAGCCTCTTTCTCAGCTTGGATCGCGAAGCTGTGAATGCGGCTCCCACACCCGAAGCCTTCCTTTGTCGACGTCAGGTGTCGTAGGCGGAGCAAGAGCCGGAGACTTAGCTAGTGATTACAGTTTCACGTTCTCCTTGCTCTCGTGCGTTGACTGACTCTGCAAGTATTTACTTGCACGCAATCCTCTGAGTATTCGCTGTATTAGTGATGCTTCTTGTTTGTTGGCCATACAGCCGTAGTTTGCTCACCTGATGAGATGTCCTCAGGTGTAGTGGCCCCCATGCCTTTCAAGCCCCATGCAGCGGCGGACGTCGTTGAGGGGCCTTTGCAATGTAATTCAGGATGTAGGCAGTACCTCAAGTCTGCGATCTGGGAAATGTAAAGCGAATTGGATCCAAAGAAACTTTGGACCGCATGCACTTGTACAGCTTCCTCCAACAGTGGCGAAGATGCACACACAGCATACAATCTCTTGGGGCAGCCTGCGCCAAGCTGACTTGCTTGAGTGGGTGGGACGTGCCTCAGTCTAGCACGCGGATATCATCTCGCCTTTGACATTGGGCGAGCATTTCCGGTCTGGGATTTTCAGGCGTGGGGCTAGCTAGCAAGCTACGGAGTTCACCCTTTCCGATATGTTTTGTTTGCCGGAAATCCCATTTAGTTCTGAGGAGGGCAAAAGGCACTCCAAGACAGAGAGCTAACTGTACAGGGCCGCCATCCATGGCAGAGGAGCTCTTAACAGCCCGTGACTGTTGCATTGGCTTGCTCTGTACATCTCTGTCCTTTCCAGTTATGCTTGCCACCTCCAGTGTGCAGTCCTTGCCATCTCGGCTGCCGCGGTTTAGAGCAGGTCCACACCACACTTGTCCCTGCTGTCTCTACAACACCTCATGTGAAGCCCGGGAAGTCCCTGCCAGTTGCTCCGATCACCGATGCCAAAGTGCACACCATAGCTCAGCCGAGATAGACTCACTCGCCTTCAGCTCCTCTTGTTTTTTTCTAGGCCATGTGCCGCAATTGAAATGCTTCTGAAGGCCTGGCCGCGTCCTTGCACAGTGCGATAGTGATAACAAAGAGTGCAGATGCTTTCGTACAGGCGGCCCGCGATGGCGACTTGGAGGTTGCGCTGCGTAGCACATGCTTGTCATTTCTGGCCTATTGTGAGTGTCCTTGTGGATTGAAAAGCCCATGTAGAGCTTGTTGAGCTGCAGTTGCATGGCGTTCTGTTTGGAATAGTTTAGTTGCAGATCTTGGCATCCGCATGCAGAGTCCTGTAAACTGTTGGTTTTTGGTCTTCAGGTCTTGAAAAGTTGGAACTTTGCAGAAATCGCTGCGCGTCTGTGTGGCCCAAGCAGGCATCTTGCCACCAAGACGCGATATGCAATCTATAGACTACTGTAGACATCGACCATCCTTGCTTGTACGACGCCTTATGCATGCATGTAGTGATTGTAGAAATTCCACGCCGCAACTGGCGTTAATGATGTGACGGCTGTGGTGGCTTGAAAAGCACATCGCATGTTGGTGGCGTCCAGAGCATCCGCCTCACTGCAAAGGCCGGCACGTTGACATGCTTGAGAAGGCTTCCAGACGTTGGGTGCATCGGAGCTTAGCCGAAGCTTCCTTCATTCCTCCACCTCCACTTGTGTGCACGGTCCGCCGGTCAGAAATTATGGGTGCCACTGAGGCTCCAGAGATCTTAGTGGGTGGTTTTCACGTTTCATTGTCTCCAACCTGGTGAGGCATGGGAGCACAAGCAGATTCCTCCGACCTCGGCCGCTGAGGCGTGGAGTCCGGCCGCAGAGGCCGTGCTGGCAGCGAAGCGATGGGTTTCCGATTTCCCTTACCACTGTTCAGAGCTTCCGCCGAAAATTCCGGATGTCAGGGGGCAGCCTGGGCCTTCGCCTGCTCTGTGCGCCCTCTGCGGCTTCGCGGCCCTGGCCGTCCACACGCGGCAAAAACGCTGGGGGCCTTAGGGCCTTGGACTGGCTTTGTCGAAAGGGTCTTTTTCTGTCCTTGACAGAGATCGTCCGCCAAGGCCTTTAGAATTTTATTTGGCGCGTTTGCGGAAGTTGAGCAGAGCGAACTGGGAGGAAGACAGGGAACCTCCAAGGCTAATATGGATGGATCAAGTCCTGGTCATGACGTCACGACATCCCTGGAGTTCCCATTCCGAGAAATCCCTGTGCCCGGAACTGAGACCGCTCGAGGTCGCCTCGAGGCCGCTCGAGCTTCCGTGGATGCATCCAGGAGGCAGCCGGGAAGCCCCAACCCTACACGGACCTTACACGCCTTTACACTATCTTAGTACCATCTCACACCCTTAGTTCTGAACCTGCAGCCCGGGTTTGGACAGAGACTTGGGGGTTGTCTGATACGATCTTGTCGTGAACTCCCCCAGGTGCCCTTACTCAGCAAACCAACATCGCCTCGAGCATGTCACTCCTCTTTGTCTGAAGCTTCGAGCCAATTCCGACAAAAATTGTCCACCCCTGAAATCGGCTCAGCCCGGAGCACTAAACCATACTAAGCAGCTTTCACCCCTCGGCCCCAGCAGGCTCGAGATCCGGGGCGACGATTTTGTTCTGGATGGCCAAGTGCATCGCATCATCTCTGGATCTGTGAGTGTCAACGACTGCACGTAGCTGCATTTCTGAAGCTTCGGCAGGGTTTGCTGGTTTGGGGTTCAACGCTCTGGGGGCTTGCGAAGCTGTTGGGGGAGATCAGTTCATTTGGGGTTTGGCAGCATTGACCGGGACGCCTAAACCTAGACTCTGAGACTCTATGAGGTTACTTCCGGGTACTGCCGCCTCAGTGGCGTGATCGCATGGAGAAGCTGAAGGCGCTTGGATGCAACGCTGCCGAGGCGGGAATCCCAAAGCCAACAGATTCTTGTCCCCCCCCCCCCGCCCTCTCCTCTCCCCCAAAACATCCCGGTTAGGGGCCAGGCAGCGGGCAAGATGGTGGCAAGGGAAAGGGAGGATGGAGGGGGGGTGGGGGGGGGGGGGGGGGGTGGGTGGGTGAGGTGTGAAGAGGTGCCGGGGAGCTAGGGTACGATTGTTCATTATTTAAACAATCAAAATAATTACGCGAATGGAAACAATCAAAATAATTAAAATACTTAGAATAATCGGGACTTGAACCATTTTAAATATTGTAAAAAACTTTGGAACCCAAATAATGAAATAATTGACATAATTAAAATAATCAGGGATTTAAGTATTTTCAGTATTTTAACTATCTTAATATTTTAACCTCACTGGGTTTCTGATTTCGTACAACAAAATGCTATTGCTTTAATTATTTTAACAATTTTGAAATTTTGGGTTCCTATGAGTAAGATAATGAAAATCATTAAAATCCCTGGCTTCGTCCAGGGATTCCCTTTATTCAAACAATTAAAAAGATTAAAACAATTAAAATAAGTACAATATTCCGGATTGTAATTATTTCGAAAATTTTGGCATCCCAATAATCAACATAATCTGAACAATCGGGAATTTAATTATTATTTCAAAAGTTTTGGCATCCAAACAGTTAACATAATTAAAATAATCAGGAATCTAGAATTTAGTTATTCAAATTATTTTAAACATTTCGGCTAACAAAGAGAGAAAGAATTAAATTCGTTTGTTTTTTAAATAGTTTATCTTTTCAACCGTTGTTGTATAGCCAACTATTATGATTGTAGTTGTTGTAATCATTTTAAAAATTTGGGCTCTTAAATAAATATCTATATAAATAATTAGACTAACTAAAGTAATGAAACTATTTAAAATAGTTAAAACTAATTGAAATTCTTTAAACAATTCGACTAAAACAAAAGTTAAAATAAAATAAGTCCCTGGATGTCTGCTCATTTTGAACTATTGCCACCTATATTGACGAAATCAAAGCGTTAAATAAACCTTAAAGGGTCCTCTCTCATACATACATATGTTTGCGCACACATGCATACATACATTCCATTATGCATACGTGTGCCTCTACATACAGATAGGTAGCTACGCTTAGACAGCTAATTGTATCGCAATTCAGATTACTTTGACGACGACTGCAACGGCATGGCAAGAGCAGAGGCAGCAATGCCAACAGTAGTGACGACAACAGCAGAGAAACGTAGGATTAGAACTAGGAGCAACAGTCACATATAACAGTCGCAGCAGCAGTAATGGAAGGAGAGCAAGTAGTAGTAACAGTGAAAGTAACGGTGACGGTGCTAGTAGTCGTAGTGGTACTAAAACCCAAAAAGAGTAGTGGCAAGATTACCACTAATGTTGACACTGCTGGGACAATTGCGACTTCGATAGCTTCCCTGCACACTAGCACCAAACCGAATAACCAAACTTGGTGTCAGCTTTTCAACTTTCCATTTCCATATTTCGTTCCATGCCCGTTTCTCATCTTGCACTCTGCTCTATCTGTTCTGCGTGCTTGCTTGAGGCTGCCATCTTCCACTTCTGTGCCTTGAGTATCAGATAGAGTCAAAAGTCTGTATGATGCAGCCAAAAGGGAGCATTCCGTACTATATGCAACTGAGTCCATGTACTGCCTTGGTGACGTGAGCAAAGTTTTGCTGCGTGGCTCTGCACAGAATTCAGTCTCCTGCGCTCCCTCAGTGCCGAAGCCGCAGAACTCCCAACACCGAAGGCCCTAAATTCTAGATCACTTGAGCCAGGTCTATGTGCCTTGGAACCTTCATGAGCCGGAGCCGGGAAGCTTCGACTTCGAGGGTCGCTGCGATCTGCCGGCTTTTCTCGAGCTGTGTCAGGAGCACTGGGGCCTTGGGTTTGGGGCCGGGAACCAACCTGGTGCAGAGATTTCACGAGTGGCTTGTGTCGGACCTTTAGTTTTAGGTGTGCAAGGCTGCTTCATCTACTTGATCATAAGCCCGAGACTCAAAAGAACCCGTCGAACTCTGAGCCACGAGTCCACCATTGCGAGCCGCAGAAGAAGCAAAGGAGCTGCAGCTGGATGTGCTACTTCGACCCGGGCCATACATCTGCGCGGAGTGGGACTTCGGCGGCCTCCCATGGTGGGCCCCAAAAGCAGGAAGTTGCGGGCCTTTTCTGCTTTTGGGAATGCTCGCTCAAGAGCTTTAGAGTCAGCCCATGTGATGATCTGAAGCTTTCTACCTATCTTCAGAGTCGCTGCATGGAGTGTTTCAGCAACTATCACCGACCATCACCCGACGAAGTTTTCCAAGAGAGCATTCGAAGCCTTGCTCTAAATCTTAAACAGAGCTTTGGAACCTAGGCCCGATCCCCGAGCTGCCAGAGTTCCCAATCCTCCAAAGCGAAGACGCATCTTAACAACTCACCCCAGGAAATTTGCCCGCATGCCACGATTTCTAAATGCTGGTTCCCAAATCCCATGCTCTCCAGAAGCATCAAGAGCACGAAGAGCAATAATGAAGAAGAGCCAGCGGAACAGTGAGAATAAGAGTAGCAGCGACAACCCGCTGAGGTGGCTTCTGCGCAATCCGGATCCTGTTCCTTTGAGATCTTCGGACCCGAAGTTCCTTGAGGCAGTGGAGAGGCGGAGCGGTTTGAGGCTTTGGGGACCTCGAGGAAGGCCTTCTTTCTCCTTAAGCCCAATCCCCGAACCAACTCCGAGTCCGTCTGCGCACCGCAAAAACGTCTCTCGGTCCGGCAACTTCCCGAAGACCCAGTCTGGCAATATAAGCCCCTTTCTTGGTCAGGTGGTGGTGCGGTCAGCTGTTGCCGCGAATTCGCCCGTACTTGGCAGCAAATGGTGGCAGCATCATCGCCATGCAGGTGCCCTGCGTTTCAAAGCATTTCGCCCCCAGACAGATCTTCTTGAGCGAGCTTTCCTTGCTGGTGCAGAGTCTAGGTTAAACGGTGGAAGTTAGAGCGCTTTGTCAGGGATGGTCAGCTTGTAAGTTCACCTCGCCTGGCAGGTGGAAAATGAGTACGGATACTGGGGCATCGACCCGGATTATCTGGAAAAGCTGCGCAGCATGATGCTGCCAAGTTGCAGCGAAGGTATGTAGGCGCAAGTCTCGGGAGCGCGACTGATCCTGAGCTTCAGCTCCCAAGGCTGGACACCTTGGGCTCCGAGTGTCCGCTGCTCTTTACCAGCGATGGCACCTTCTGGCCGGACCTGCAGGCGCGAAGGGACCTGGTCAGCTCTGCCTCCAGTTCTGCCGAACGTGCTCGCAATGCAAAGGCCCAGATTGCTGGGGTCTGCTGCACAGTTTGCTTGCTTCGTTCAAACGGCAGTCCCACGGTCACCGGAGACTCAAAGGCAAACATCCGCAACTTTTATTTGCGCACTTGCGGCCCTCCGCACGAGGCCAATGGTGGGCTTGACAGCATGCTTCGCACTGCCAACTTCGGCTCGGAGCCGAATCAGAGGCCCTCGGAGTTTCTGGCAGCATCATCGATTCATCGCTTACGGGCTCTTCACAAACCAGGGTGGGTCCCAGACATTCGCTTCACTCCGCTTAAAGGCTCCCCGAGCTGCGAGTGGCACAGCCTCGAGGGCCGCTCTGCAACATGGAGCTGCCTGGCCCCGGCTTTGAGCGTTTGAGCCGATGTTGGCGCCTCCCAAGTAACCGCGGAGACTCTGGAGATTTTTGGTCGGGTGTGGCTTCCGGGAGTATGCATATATCAGCCGAGACCAGTCAGTAATGTCTGCTCTCACAAGTCTTGATTCACAGACGTATACGCCGCACTGTCGGCCCCAATTTCGTTCGGGGGGATGGGATTTGGATGCAGCAGTGTTGCTGGAAAGAAAGCCGCAGTGATGTAGGCTGGACCACAAGCCCTGCTGACCTTGGGGATATTTGTCTTATGTTGGCCGTTGGTCCTGGGTGGTGGAATGCAGAGCACAGAAGGATTCTGGACGAAGTTTCAGGCCGTGAAACCGAATGTCAAACACAGCCCGAGCAGCCGAGGTTCTGGATAGGCCCGGCAGGGGCATTGAGCTTTAGGTGTGCCTTCGGTCTTTGAGGGCTTTGGGAGTCGCATCCGTACACGAGCCGGAGCCAGGCTGGTTTGACGCCTGGGGGGCACTGACCGGCAAGAGCTTCCGGGACCCGAAAGATGTGGCGAGGACCTTGCGCGGCATTTTGGATGCCGGTGCATCTGTCAACTTCTTCGTTTTCCATGGAGGTACTTCCTTTGGCTTCTGTGGGCCTGGTGGAAACGTGTCGCAGGTTGGACAGTATGAGCCCCAGGTCACCTCTTACGACTATGGTGGCTTGCTCGACGAGGCAGGCGAGATCACCACGAAGTACCTTCGCTGCCGAGAGGTCCTGGCAGACTTCCTGAATCAGCCGGAACTGCTCGAGCGCAGCTTTCCAAAGACGCGCCGGCTTCCGGAGTCGCCTCTTCTGGAGATCGAGGCGTCCTTGTCACTGGAGCAGGCTCTGCCCTGCTTGGCCAAGGATCCCGTGAAATCGGCTGTGCCCCTGGCAGCAGAGCAGGTCGGACTGGGTTATGGATACATCTTATACCGCTCCCAGATTCCGGCCAGTGACCTGCCATTGACCTTCGGAGACGACGTCATCCGAGACTTCGCATCAGTTCTTCTGGAAGGTCGCGTTCTCGGGACGATTTACCGCAACGACTCTGGTCGCTCCCGCGAGTTCCAGGTGCCTCAGGCCGGCCGGCTGGAAGTTCTCGTGGAGATGATGGGCCGTGTGAACTTTGGTCCAGCGCTCTTACAGGAGAGGAAGGGCCTGGTGGGGCCTGGCTGCGTCCAGCTGGGCACTCCCTTCACGGGCCCCTTGCGTGCTGTCTTGGGATGGGATATCTTTGCTCTCCCCATGGCTTCTCGGCTGGAATCTGAGCACTGAGCCCCTCCTAGCACAGGACTTTAGCTCCAAGTAGGTCGCATACAGCTCAGGATGAAGAAAGCCTCGCGCAGCTCCCCTGGGATGCCTGCCAGGGGACGGCGGCCCGAAAGAGCGCCTGGGAACGGGGGCCACGGCTACTAGGCTCCCAATGAGTTGGCGGGGTGGCTAAAGTCTAAAGCGTGTGCAGGGCATATCTTGCATGTAGCGAGAGAGCAATGGGATTCGACCCCGCTGCTGGATCATGGCGTGGCTGAGGAGGAATTAATGACGGCGGTCGATGTTCCACTGAAACTTGTGGCTGGGTGCTTTCAGAGCTTGTGGTTGGCTGCTGTTCCATCCTGTTGTCAGATGTGCTTTGCTGTACCGAGCAAGCTTGTGAATCTGCTCCTAGCCAGGTTCTTCCGTTATTCATTGCATGTCCAGCAGCCCGCCGACGGCTTCCTGGCCCTGGAGGGCTTCACCAAAGGCTTTGCCTGTGTCAACGGCTTTAACCTTGGCCGGTATTGGCAGGCCGGGCACGGCATAAAGTGGTTTGCCCAGCTTCGGTTTACAAGTCAACTCTAGTGGATGTAACAGTTTTTGAGCAACCTGGTCGGAGTGTACCCCGAAGACAGCATGAAAGCCCTAAGGGTCCGGAAGCTCGGAATGGTCTTGGCCCCCAAGTTCGAGCCAAAGTCTGGGTTCTCGGCATGCGGTCCTTGTCCACAGGTCGGCCCCCAGCAGACGCTGTACATTCCTCATCCTGTTCTCCGACGTGGCCAGAACGAGGTCGGCAGCAAAAGCCTTTCTACCGTCGCTCCGAGGAAGGATGTTACCCATGCGCGTAAGGTACTGGTTTTCGACATTGACAGCCCAGAGCTGGAAGAGGCTGAGGACATGCCTGCGCTGGTGGTAGCTTAGAGATGCACGCCGGAAAGGCACAAGCACCCCCTGCTCCGCGGATAGTGCAGCAGCCTCAGCTACGCTTGCCGCTTCATGTCGAGCTGATCAGTGCCGGTGCCATGCATTCTTCTGGTTGAGGTCTGAAGCAATCTGGTCTTCTGGAGTGCTGCCCCGTGGTGCGAAGGCCTCTGCAAGTACCGGTTCATTCCATGTCGTGCGTGCGCTCAGTGCAGGAAGCAGCGGCGAAGGTGTCCAATCTTTTCCACAGCTGGACCTGAGGCTCTAGGAGGACGTTTTCCTCCGGGAGGTGGCATGAGCATCTGTAAGTGCTTCTGGTTCCTGACAAAGTCCATAACACGTCCAAGAGTTTCACTGAAACAGATGCCATGCCGTTTCGCTGGTAGCGACCATCGGTGAAGGGCGGACAAAGGATCCCTACAGTCCCTGCGATATAGCACCGCGAAGTAGCCATGCGATCCATGCACCATATCCTTGCGCAACCCCAGCATGTGACACTAGCTTGTGTAGCTTCACTAGTGAGAGGAGTTGCTGATAAGCATTGTTCACCGTATCTAGGGACTAGGACCCGGTGGCTTGAGCCTCGCGAAATGCTTCCGGGCACCGCTGATCTCGCCAACGGGAGATACCCCCGTGCACCAAGGAGTCTAAGTTTCAGACACATCATCGGAGAGCGCCTGGAACATCACGCCGCTTCATCCTTCAATGTCAACTGCACATACTCGAGAAATCCAGAACCCAAAGTCTTCTTGGAAGGTTGTCCTCAGACTGCTCTACACAAACCCATTCATCGGGGCGCAGGTTCGCCGATGGGTCTGGGAGTTGCAGACTTTAAGGCTTTGGTCGCACTCTGCAAATGCCATGACACCGAAAGTCTTACAGCCGAAAGAGCAGATGCGATTCATAAGAGAAAGCAGCATTCCAAAGATTTTTCCATACACTTTAACCCCAAGCAGCCCCGCTGGCTCTCAGGCTCAGGGGCCAAGCACCGCCTGCCCTGCAGAAGCAGCAAAGTTCAAAGATACCTCATTGGATCTCGACAACAACCATCGGCCTCAACGCATAGCAGTGGCGTCTTCGAAGCTCTCGTGGCCTAAGCCGCTTGAGTTCTCCGTGAGTCAGGAGTTGCGCGACTCTCTCTGGGAGGCAGCCCTGAACAGCCAAACCGAGGCAGAGCGAGCAGGTAGAGCATTTGGTTCAACCCGACAGGTACTTGAGCAAGGCTTTGGGGATAATGATGATGATGATGATGGTGATGATGATAGCGAGGTTGGTCACGACGGTGAGGATAGTTTGTGGTATCGCAGCTGCACTATGTTGGCGAGGACTAGCCCAGGTGCATTTATTTGTTGTTTGTTTTGTATCTCCACTTGCTTACGAACTAGCCTGAGCTTTGTAATTCCTTTCACTTTTGCCAGTCTTCTCCTGCTTGCTCTTGCTCGTTCCAGCAGCAGCACCACCACCGCCACCGCCACTACCACCACCGTCACCACTCACGGCCACCACTGGTACCGCCACCACCACCTGGTGCCGCCACAGCCACGGCTACCAATGCTGCTGCCATTGGTACTACTACTACTACGACTACTACTACGACTACTACTACGACTACTACTAGTACTACTAGTACTACTACTACTACTACTACTACTACTACGACTACTACTACTACTACTACTACGACGGCGACTACGACTAC